AGGCTACAGAGAATGGCATGTGGCCTTTTTGGGGGCTCTGGCCTTTGAGGCTGCTTAGAGACATGGCTGCAAGGTTAATGAAGGAGAGGGGGCAGGAGGGATGATGACAGGAGAGGAACCCTTCCCTAAGGAAACCCTTGCCCTCAGGGAGCTTGTGGCCTAGTTAGAGGGTTAGACAAAGCCCCACAGTGCATGGGGGGAGTGGAGGGTGCCAAGCCAGAGGCCAGGAGTATGCTGGGATGTACTCTGAGTCAAGGAGGATAGCTAATGGAATCAGGGAAGGCTGCCACTGAGAGTGGACCTTAAACAATGTGCAGATTTTGAACTTGCCAACATACACAGAGAAGCTTTCTTGGGAAGGAGACCACACATGCAAAGTTTGAAGTCGGGTAGACATACCTTATTGCATGGGTGTTGGGGAGCTATGGCAGCTTTCTGAGCTAGGGAGATCTAATTTTACGAGGACTGGTCACCTAAGGAGAAGACTCAATTATGCCTCCCATAGGTCACCTACATAGGTGTGGTCTTAAAGAGACAGACTCGCTCCCTGAGTCATGAGCGAATCAACCCAATCCTCCGTTTTCTACTCCCCCAGACCATAAAGCAGCTTAGAGCTTTCTTGGGAGTTACAGGATTTTGCAGGGTCTGGATTCCTAGATATGTAGACCTTGCCAGACCCCTTTTTATGCTCCTTCTAATATGCCTATTTGGGCCTTTTATAATAAATGCTCTTTCCAGATTCATATCGCAACAGGTCCAACGTATCAAACTCCATCCAGCTCTTAGTCAAGGAATATTCACCTCTGCCTATGCCTGAGCCCTCCATCCCATTCTATCGGGGTTCCTGGAGACTACATGGATCAACCCCTGAGACAAGTACCACCTCACCTATTCCCTGTCACCCCATTGTCAGCACAAAGCAGCTAGATGAGTCATTGCCCCTCTCCCCAACAGCAGTTGGGTTCTTGTCTCAGGGGGGTATTTGTTGGGTCTGGACACCTAAGGCAGATGAGTGAGTAGCCCATCCCTGCCCCAGAGAGCAATATCATTCCTGCATCCTGAGGAGTTAGAGATCTGCATTCCTGCACCCTGAGAGGGAGTTGTAAACTGCACTTCTCCATCCTAAAGAGAAGATAAAGGGTCTGATAGATCTGCCACAGGGCTGATGAGCAAAATGCTCTCAAGATTGTTTCCCCTCCTGCAATAAAGGTGCAAACCAAACCAGTTCACCTGAGAAAGCCAGCGAATCCACGGCCAATGAGAAAAACCTGCCTAACTCAGAGTTATAATGTCCATGAAAACCCCAGCCTTCACCTAAGCAGCGAGTTACCAGTTTCTGGGCTCTACTGCACTTCTCTAACTGTAGCCTTTCCTTTCTCTCTAATATATCCCACCTTATATATTAAAAAGAGAGGACTGGTGACATCACAGTATATAGGAGGTAAAGAGAAGGAGTCCTAGAGGCACATGTACAGCCAGGTCAGGGGTCAAATGGCCTCAGCAGCAGACACAGCAGGACCCCAAAGACCTTATGGAAGGGCTGCCCAGGGCCATTTGGGTACGGAGGGCCACATCTCTGTTTATTGTGTTGAACTCATGAATTGCCAGCTCTTTCATCCACTACCTATTTAACTGTCCCCAGCAGCCTCCTGAGGCAGGTCCTGCTGTCATCCTGCTTACACACAAGGGAAACCAGGCTCAGAGATCACATGACTTGCTCTGGATGCAGCTGAGATGTCATGGAGCCAGGATTTGGACTCATATCTCCCTGACACCAGGGCCAGCCTTTACCCCCATGAGGTTGTCTGGAGAAGGCTTTATTCAGTAACCAAAGGTCAGAAGAATAAGATGGGACCATACTGTTTGCTCCCAAGAGCCTTCCCAAGGGAAGGACCAAGTGAGTGTCTACACTTTGTTGCCCTCCCCGACACCCTGGCCAGGCCACAATTTCCAGGTGGGCCAAGGTACGCTAGAAATGAGAACAGCGAACTGATTTATCAAGCACTTAGTCTATACCAAGCAGGGACAGATGGATGTATCAGATGTATTTATGCCAGCCATGTCAGGGACCCACCATAACTACTTTTGTCCTGGCCCAGTGGTCTCACACTCATTTTGCAGATGGGAACTTCAATGCTTAGAGCAGGTGTGTCACTGGCCCACACTGGTATTTGAACCCAGGGACACCTGTGAACATGCTTCACTGCCTCCTCCTTTGACAGGGGTGTCCTTTGTGAAAAGTGGGATTCAGTGCTGGAGCTGGAAGAGTGGACCTACCTGGAACCCATCCCAGCTCTAATCCCAGGGTAGGGTCCAGGCTGCCTTTTTGTCTTTTTTTTTTTTGTGGTACTGGGGTTTGAACTCAGGGCCTTGCTCTACCACTAGATCCGTGCCCCCAGCCCCAGTCTGCCTTTTTGAGCCCCATTGCTCCTTTGCATATAAGTGCTAGGTCTGTTTACTGAAGGGCATGTTTCTTTCCCCCTGAGAGTTGTCCCAGGTCTGTACCTAGAGTTGGATTGGAAAGAGGGCCTTCCCTCCTACCCAGCCTGGCCCCTGGGTAACCCCTAGCGTGAAAGGAAAGCACTCCAGTAAGTGCCTTGCTGGACAATAGCCCAGCCAAGTGCTGGGAGTAGGAGGTGGTGGGGAGGAGGCAGGGCGGAGCAGGAGGCCAACCAACAAAAGGATCCAGGACCCCAGAGCAGGGGCAGGACCTTGCCAACAAACCTCAGCCAGCTGCTTCTCAGCTGTCCACATCAGACATCCCCAGAGATGTCACGAGGCAGAGCTGGTCACGAGGAGCCCTCGCTGATCCTGGCCTGGCCCAGGGGACAGAGAGGCTCGTAAAGTGAGAGCATAGGCGACCCAGGGCAGGATTCAGAAATTAGATGTGTGGACCACATTGGAAGATTGCTCAGCTCAGATTCCTCCTTCTGACCAGTGCAGTGGGGCAAACCATCAGATCCCAAAGTATTTGTACAGAGAATTGAGAGGCCATGTACACAGATAGGGACACATTACACTTGCCCAGGCCTTCCTCTGTCTGGTCTTAAGGGCATCCCACCCTCTTTGGGCCCCCTCTATGAGGTGAAGGATCTCAAAACTCCTTCCAAGCCCTTAAAACATCAGTTTGGGAAGTCACAGGCCCTAGCAGCAGAACTGTGATGTGGGCTCCAGGCCTGGGTTTGTCTTAGCCTCCCTCTGTCTCATCAGTATCCCCTGGCCTGAGCATCTCCAGGGGTAAAGTCCTTTCAGAACCTAGTCCAGCCTGCCACCTAGTGGGGAGGCCACTGGGACAAACCAGAAAAGACTGTGTGGCCATAGAGTGTGTTTTCTATCAGTCCTTAAGTGTGGGAGGGACTGGCATTTGGAAGTTCACTTCACCTCTAAGACCTAAACCATCTGGGCACACGGCTTTCCACGACGGCCCACTTCTAAGGCCAGCCCTCCTTTTGGTGATGTTGTCTTTTATCTTGGCTTTGTCTTCCTCCCAACTTCTCCCTCCCCCTGCTGCTTTCTAGTTTGGTTCTCTTCCAGGCCATGCCCTTTGTCAGACCTTGTCCGATCATGGCTGAGTTTCAGGAGCCTCTGTCTGCAAAGTCAACACAATTGAGCAGTTAGAGATGCACTGGCTGAAGAGCCCAGATGCAAACTCTGAATGCAGGAGGTGCCAGACCCATACCCAGGCTCAGGGGGCTCAGAGCCCCTCAGTGGCTGTTTCCATTCCAGAGGGCAGAGCCTGTGCCTCTATACTTTCAGCTTCTGCAAGGAAGACGCAGTATGGACAGCTTGTCTTAGAGCCATATAGTGGGTTCTCTATATCCCCTTCCATAGATTCAACCAACCACAGATAAAAAATATTTGGAAAAAAATTGTTATGTCTGTACTGTACATGTACTGACATTGTCTTGTCATTATTCCCTAAACAAACAATGCAGTATAACAACTATTCACATAGCATTCACATGGTATTAGCATCATAAGTAATCTAGAGGGGAAGTAAAGTGTATGGGAGGATGTGTGTAGGTCATATACACCATTTGATTGAAGGGGCTTGGGCATCCACAGGTTTTGGTATCCAAAGGAGGAGTACTGGAACTCTTCCCCAAAGGATACTGAGAGACAACTGATGACTGGTCCCTAAAGGAAATTGCTGCAACAACTAGTTATAAAGTGTTAATGAGAGGCAGCCCCCTCTTCCAGGAAGCCCTCAGATCGCACCAGGCTCATCTTCCTCTCTGCTTTTTTAGTCCCTGCACTCCAGGCTCTGGTTGTGCTGCACAAGTTCTTCCTCGGTTCTCTTCTGCCATGGTTAATGTGGACAACTGTTGTTTTGTACTGTCTCAGGCCCAGTGGCAGGAACAGGCTCACTGTCCTAGAATAAGAATGGCCACAATGTTTTTGGTTTGTGCACTTGTTTAGTTTATTTGCCCAACCTTTTTCTTTTTAAATGGAAATAAATTTCTAGCTATAAAAATAACCCAGGAGCTGAAGACAAAAAAGCACCTGTAAGCCAGCACTCAGATCCCCTTGGACTCTACCACTCAGTGTTAGACACACTCTCACTTCCATTTACAATAAAGAAATTAAACTGTGCTTTAAACAAAAAACAGATCCCAGGGATATCTCACCAAGTAAATAAATGCAGGTCTGCCTTTCCTGTGTGGTTGGGTGGCTACATGATGTCCCTAATTCATACGTTCAAGCTATAACTTATATAACTATTGTGAGATTTGGAGTTTTTCCCCAACTTCTTCCCCCATGACATACAGTAGTACAACAGATATCTCCCTGAATAAGTTGTTTGTGCATCTTTACCTTTCTCCCAGAATAAAATAGGAAAAAGAATGAGCAAATCAGGACTGGCCCGCATTGAGTTTTATGTGTCACACACAGGGATATGGGGTGGGGGAACTATCAGGGCCAACACCTGTCTGTAAAGGGGCTCGCCTGGTGCTCAGTCTCCCCACCTTTCAGCTCTAAGGAGGAAGCAGTACAGGAAGATGCTGGGTCTCTACCTCACCTTCGCTGGTGGCACTGGAATCCCCTTGGATAGTGCCTTGGAGCCTGCCTGGGCATTTTGGGGCCCCTGGGGAGCAGTAGCTTGTCTAATTAGGGATGGAAAGGATAAGAATGACCCTGGCTTACACCTGCAATCCTCTGTGCCTGCAGGCGGCCTCAGTGGGGCAACGATCATCGATTCTCTCGACACCCTCTACCTCATGGAGCTGAAGGAGGAGTTCCAGGAGGCCAAGGCCTGGGTCAAAGAAAGCTTCCATTTGAATGTGGTGAGTCAGAGACCCTCAGGGTGTTAAGGCCAGAAGTAGCCCCGTACTTCAGTGGTGAGATCTCCACCCTGAGACCTCTGAAACTCAAAAGACATCAAGGGTCTTGCCCACGGCCGCACAGCAGGCAGTCCCAGAACCAGGGCTGCAGTGCACTCCAGGCTAAGTCCTGTCCCTTAAGACTGGTTTAAGATGGGAATGTCCCACCAGCCTGATGGCCTCCCCTGGGAGGAAAGACAACTACACCATCCCTTTTGTCCCCACTAGATTAGCCATTGCTTATCTTGGGCATATAGCTCACACCCAGGATGACCCTTCTGGAGCTGAATCTGTCACACAAAGTGTCTTTGTCGGGGGAAGATGTGGCTCAGCTCTCCAACTGCACCATTCCTGAATGCTCCCAGCACAGCAATCATGACCTGGTGAACGGGGAGACCAGGACCAAGTCCAGGACCCTCTTTGTTCCCATTCTCACAGGAATCTCTGGTCAGGGCCAAGAGAGGACAGCAGCCTATCTGGATGGCTCAAAAGCCTCAAAGGCCAGACTCACCCCATTTGATCTCCTAGCCTAGACTAAGTGGTGGATCTGGCCTAGAGGTCTCTGCTCACCACTAAAAAAGGCCATGTGTGTGAATTTGGGGAGTGAGAAGGAGGGGAGGAGAGCTTCACGTGTAGCCCCACAAGTGCCAGGTCCTGAGGCACAGAGGTCTTGAGGGGGTGCCTCCTGCAGTTTGGCAGAAATGAGGCCTCTACCCCCTGGAGGGGCTGCTTTGCCAGCATGGAGCTAGGCAGAGAGGAAGCCTAGCAGGAGGTTGGAGAGCAGCACGAGAAGAGGAGTGCCCTCCACCAGAGGCAGGCCAGGGAAAGGCATTGTCCTCCCTCAGTCTCCTCACTGCAAGACAGAACGATGAGGATGATAGCAACACCTGGTTCATGAGGACTAAATACACTGAGGGTTTTGGAAAACATTTTATGGCACTATAAAGTCCAATGCAGATGTAAAGTGGCATCCTTGTTGTCATAATTACTAGGATCGTCTTGAGGCTGTTTGCTACTTCCGGTGTTGTGTGTAAGGCCAGGAAAGTGTAGCAACCTCCTGCATCCTCCTCTGTTAATTGGAGAGGCAGGTGATGGGGAGGAACATCTTCAGGGGTCCACTTTCCCCTGTGCAGATCCTGGCTCTTCTGGGTAGAGAATGGCAGCAGCTACACAGAGGGCTAGGGACCCTGGGGACACTCAGGCAGGCTGGGGATGGTTAGGGAGTATCCCCAGAAGAAAGAGAAACCTATCATTCTCATCTGGAGAAAATGGGTGAGCTCACAAAGTTTGTAAAGCTGAAAGGCTTCACACATGTTTTGCTGATGGAAAAGTTCTTCCAGGTGAACAGATGATGGTTGTTGCTATCAAAAAAAATTAAAAATTAAAAAGAAAACCTCATGGAGCAGAAAATGTGCTAAGGGGAAGTGAAAACAGGCTTGCTTGCTTATTTATTGATTTTGGTAGTACTAGGGATTGTACTCAAGATCTGACACTTGCTAGGCAAGTGCTGTACCACAGGCTGTTTTTTGAAGGCCCTGCCCTGACTGGGCAGCTTCTTACTGTACCACCTGTGTGTTTACCCTCCATGGGAGGTGGTGTCAGCCTGTTCTGCAGAAGAAGAACCTTGGCAGGAAAAGGCAAGCTATAATGCCTCAAATCCCAAAGCCAAGTAAGTGGCCCAGGTGGGATTTTAATCTAAGCCTCATTCTTAGCATGATGTCTCAACACCTCTAATTTACAGACCCAACAGAGAGCAGACAGCAAGGTTGAGAGACTGCAGGTTCCTGCACACACACTTTCCTATACTTAGCCATGGCCCTGCCCTGAGTGCCTTACAGTTTTCTCAGAACTTTTTCTCACTTGTCACCCTGGGGAAGGACTTCTCCACTCCTCTGCTAAGCCATGGGGGCTCCAGAGAGGGGAGAGACCGACTAGACAAGGACTTACCTCCCCTCGGGCCAAGTTTCACCAGAAGCTCCCACTCGGGTCCTGGAGATCCTGGAGCTTGCTGGCGCACAGCCAGGCAGAACTGCTCCAATGGCCTTCAGCAAGGGCTGGGGAAGGAGCCAAACCCAGTGTTTATTTGGAATATTATAAATGTGCAGTAGAAACCACCAAGCAAGTGCTGAACCTTCTCAACCTTTGCTGTGAAAACTGACTGTGGCTGGTCCACTGAGGGTGCCCCAGATCAGGGCACAGGTGTATGTTGTGGGGGGTGACGGGTATGGGCAGACTCAAGGGCCTGGCTGCCTCTGGGGGCTCACACATGCCCTTGCTGTTCCCTGTCCCACAGAGTGGAGAAGCATCCTTGTTTGAAGTGAACATCCGTTACATCGGAGGACTCCTCTCGGCCTTCTACCTGACAGGAGAAGAGGTAAGTTGATTCTTGGAAACCTCAGAACTGTTCAGACTGGAAGGGCCTTGGAAAACATCAATCATACCCCTTTTCCAATGCAAAAATGAGATTCAAGGAGGCCGGCGATCTGCCAGAGGCCACCCAAGAGCCCTCAAGGACCTGTTTTCCAGGTGCTACCTGAAGACTCTTCCTTCTCTCTGCTGCTCACTTCTACCCACATGAACCCACCTGGCTCCCACAGCAGGTAGAGTTCTCTGAGGGCAACAACCGCATCCATTCAGATCTCTGCATGCATAGTCCTGGCAAACAACTATGCTGGTTTTCTCAGGCATTGGTTCTCAGGACCAACAAAGCCAATACCACTATTGTTCACCATTTTCAACCTTGGAGTCCTTGACTTTCTCCTACTCCACAGCCACCTCTTTTCTCCCCTTCTAAGCCACACACCAGCCAGGCACTCACTCCAAGTCTCAAGGCAGTGAGGTTGATGGTGCCACCACTGCTGGTCATAGGCTTCCAGAAGGAGAGCTGTGAAGTGTGGGGGTAGGAAGGCAGAGCCATCCACAGTCAGAAGACCTAGACCTCAATCCACCACACCCTCACCTGCTGGTGTTCATGATACCCCTTAAAATCAAAGGGTTCTTATGAAATGGTGAAATGGGATAGGGAGGAAGGGTTTGGCCTAGGGCTGGTGGCTCCAGATTCTATATTCTCCTCTTTGCCAGAGAATTCTGAATAGCACAGAGCTCTGTAGAACAGGAGACTTCTTCATCCCCTCCTCGTGAGCTCCCATAACAGCACACCCTGAGTATCAGGTGGCCAGGTTGGCAGGGTCCCCAGAACACACAGGCCATTTATCAGCCCCATAACCTGGAGGGCTGTTCTGTCCAGCTCAGCTGCTGTCTGGGTCCTGCTCTCCCTGCTCTGTCAACCCAGAGATAAAGAATTATGCCTTTCTCCTGCTGCCCAAGGAGCTGTGGAGTGAGGTAGGCAGACCTCAGAAAATCCCTCTTCCCATCCAGCGTTGTTGTCCAGAAGTCATTTCCACCTCCCTTTGGCTGCCTGGCTGAAGTAAGGCTTAGCGACAACAGGCACCTTTATCTCCCCAGTTGCTTCAGGCCACTCTCCATCAAGCATAATCTTCTCTGCAGAGATTACTGCTTGTACCAATTTGTCCAAAAAATTGTAGATGGGAGCCCTCGGCTTCCAGCCACCCAGAGCTGGAATCGTATTTGAAAACCCCAGGACAGGAAAATGACAGAAGGAGCAGAAAAAAAAGGTGTTCATGTGCTTCATGTGCATTTGCCTGCCCCCCCCCCGCCCCACCCTGGTAGCGTGGTCCAAGATGGACACACAGGAGGGAAAGACAGGCGCTGCTGGGGCTTACAGGTTGATCTGGGGGTCAGCAACTCAGGAAGGAACTGCTGATCCTCAGGAGACCCATTGCCTCTCCCTCCCTCCCTTAGCTCTGTTCCTTCTTAGAGGGCATCTGTGGTTTTGAGCCTTCAGCTCCCTGAAGAGACCATCAGTCTGACTTCCCAGGACATGCACTCAGCAGGGGTCTGTGGACAAGGGCACCTAGGACGTGCAAAATGGCTCAGAGAGGCCTGAGTGGCCAGCACCCTTGGGGCAAGCATGCTCCTCATCATCTATCCCTGTAGCCCCTGCCCAGCAGCACAACTCCATAGTCCTCCTCTGTCCTTGGGCACCTCCTCATGCCAGATGCTGACCCAGGGGAGCTCCACCACCCATCAGGTGGGTGTTACCACCGACTTGCAGATGAAGAAACTGAGACTCACCTCTGTGAGTCACTGAGGGATGTGTCCTGAGCGACTCCTGATCCAGTGACCTTTCTGCACGGTGCCTCGGTTGTCACTGCTTGTCTTCGGGGCTCAGCCACACCAGATTGAGGTCTCCCTCCCTGCTGTTCCCAGCTCATACATGGTGGGCACCTGTTGAGTAGGTCTTCTCGTTTTAAAATTTCCCACAATGTGTGTAGAGGGACTGCTGACAGGGACCCCACCCCTCCTGCCCTGCCTTTCTTTGCCTTTGAGGAAGCGGCAGAAGCCCCTGCTGGCATGGCCCACCCTGCAAAATGAGATAGCAGGCATAATCACAGATGTCCCAGCTGATGTTGGCACAGCATTTCACAGTTTAGAAGCACATTCACTATAAACTTTCTGTCATTTGATTTCCATGAAGACCCAGTGAAGCAGCCAGAGTACACTCCACCATTTCATTGAGCATATGGGGACACTAAGGCTCAGATATAGTACACACTCACCAAGGCCCACAACTGCCAAGCAGCAGGATCTGACCTGGGCTCTGGCTCCCAACCCAGTGTCGTTCCTACTGTATGGGACATAATTCAGTTCTGTTTCTCTCCCCTTTGTTCTGGAACCTTGGCCACTAAGGTTGCATCCCTGTGTTTGAGAGGCAGCTTGGTTTCTGTGAGAGAACTACCTGACTCCACAGCCCTGGGGAGGTCACTCTGAGACTTAGTTGTCTCAGTCTCAGCTTCCCTACAAACTATTGCAAGAATTGAAAGTCTGTAGACACACCTCAGCTCCCGTCCATGATGGCAGGGAGAACCATTGTCCCCAGCAGTTCAACTCTCTCCCAGCGTATTCCCTGAGACACTTGGGACCTGTGGTGCTGGCCAGCCACAGGCCTTCCATAGGAGAGGACATGGTTCTCTGGCAGAGAGGAACATTTCAAAAGAGTTAGCTCAGCGTCCTCAGAAATAAGGGCAGCCAGGAAGCTGCCTGGGGCCTCATATCTGGGCTGGTGCTGCAGTGGCTCCTGTGTTCGCCATATCAGGATTCTCCCATGAGACCAAAGGCCTTGAGAGCCCTTCTCTCAAGGCTTCTCAACCGGCTGAGTCCACCAGCACAAACTCTGTAGCTCTGCAGTGACCTGATCCTTTAGATTCTAGACCAGCTTCTAGGAGAATTCTCATGTGACTGGACCCTAGGCCCACTTCTGGGACCCACTGTCTGGTGATGGACAGTGTCCGCTTATCTAGCCCATCCTTCGGGTCCTGTAGCTCTTCCCTCCTTAGTAAGAGGACCATGACACCCTCCACCTTCGGAGGCCTCAACCCACTCACAGTTCAAAGGGCTATGAGAAGGGAAATCCTTCCCTGCTTCTTCCCCTAATGCATGGTCTCAGCAGATTTTAATTGCTGGCAGCAGGGAAAGCTGCCAGAAGCTTTTGTTTTGCCACCCAGGAGGTCAGGGAAGATGGTCAGAGACTCCAGAAATGTCCCCCACTAGAGCATTGGCTGGGGACTGGACTCATCTCTTAAAGACAACATGGATAGTCCTCCCTCAGTGTCCATGGGTGTTGGGTCCAGGAACTCTGCAGGCATCAAACCCATGGATGCTCAAACCCTTTTAGAAAATAGGGTGGTATTTGCATGAAACCTCCCATATACCTTATTAGTAGCTAATATAAAGTAAATGCCGTGTTCTACTATACCATTTAGGGAATAATTGTCAGTTCATGGGGTGTGAAAGATTTCACAAAAAACAAGAATCAAAGTAGGAGCAAAATTTATTCACTTTCTAAGAGGAAAGATTGGCCCGGAATGAAGTTAGGGCTGGGGTTTATAAGCATATAAGATGCAGAAGGAACATACTGCTGACATCTTGTTTTTTTGGTTCAGCTGACTGTTTCAGGAAGTAACTGAGGTGGTTACTTTCTCAAAATTTTGTCAAGGTGTTTGTTAGCTTATACAATCCTTTCTATGACATCATGTGCTTGTCAACAAGATACAAGTGGGAATCCACTTGAGTTCAGAAAAACAAAGTCAAACAGCCTTCCTGCCAGATGAGATGGAATCCTTTACAAAATGGAGTAGGTTAGGCTAATTTGAGTGGAGCCTTAGAATAATGGCAAGAAAAAAGTCTGCATATGTTCAGTACAAATGCAGTATTTTAAAATCTCTTTAATTTACATTTTGTTGATTCCATGAATGTGCAACCTGCAGATACAGAAGACCAATTATATCATAGGTTTGTTTTTATTATAAAAACTTGTGTAAGCTGGCTGTATTGGTGTGCACCTGTACTCTCAGCTACTCAGGAGGATTGCTTGAGCCCAGGAATTAGAAACCAGCCTGGGTGTGATGGTTGATTTTGGGGGGCTTTTTTTTTTTTTTTGGTATAAGGGCTTTGAACTCAAGGTTTTAAGTTTTTTAGGCAGGTGATCTATCACTTGAGCATGTCCCCTGCCTTTTTTTGCTTTAATTTTCTTTCAGAGAGCACTCTCGCTTTTTGCCCAGGGTGGCCTTGGATCTTGACCCTCCTACCTATGCTTTCCTCAAAGCTGGGATTACAGGTGTGTTCACCATACCCAGAATGATAGTTAATCTTGATTGTCAACTTGATTGGATTGAAAAACACCTAGAAGATTAGTAAAGCACAGCTAGGTGTTTCTGTGAGGACGTTTCCAGAGAGGATTAACTGTGGGGGACAAAACCTGCCCTGAATGTGGGTGGCACTATCCCTGGTAGACTGAGGACCTGGGTGGAGTAAAAGGGGGAGAAAGAGGAAGCCAATTAGCACAGGGTCCTGCCAGCCATGACGAGCTGTTCTGCTGCACCACACCTCCCCGCCATGATAGACGGAAACCTCTGAAACAATGAACCAAAAGAAATCCTTCCTCCTTGAAGTTGTTTATGTCAGGTATTTGGACACAATGACAGAAAATCTGATTAACACACTAACCGATGTAGTTAGAACTCATCTCAAAATCTTTTTTAATTAAAATTGCACAGAAAGTAAAGATAAGCCAAAAGAAGAAAACAGACGTTGTCTATCAGCTTACCCCTCTGAAATGAACATTATTGATATTTTGGTGTGTTTTCTTCTTTTCTTTGTGTATATATAATTTTTAAAGTTGAATTATATTGTTTTGAAATATTTTTCTCTTAGGATATTATGAGCCCTTTCTTTGCTATCGAATGCTCTGCAGCATCATTTTAGTAATGGTGTTCCATTACACACATAAGCCATAATTAAACACTTCCCTGTTGTTTGATATTTAGTACACACTATTCTAAGCAATGCTGAAATAAATAGCCATAAACTTTAATCTTTACAACATTTGTCATTTTTTATGTTCTTAGAATAAATTGCTAGGAGGGACACTGCTAAGTCAGGAGGTCCCAGGTCCTTTTGAATTAACCTGGCAATGTGAACGGTCAGAGCCTTGAGCTGGGGCCCTGAAGCCTAGAACCCTGGAACCCTGGATGGCTCCCTTGCTAACACATAGGGTTTAGGACAAGCTATTCACCATCTCCCTTCACTCCTCAGCTGTAAAGTGGGTGGCATCAAAGTATCAGGGGAAGGGTTATTCCCTGCTTTCACGCTGGGAAACTGTAGCCCCAGAGGTAGAAGTTTCTGGAATCTGGGGGTAGAAGGGGTCTTGGCTTCTAGTCTGGTGTTCTTTACTCTCTGTCCATATGGTACTACTTGTTTCCCACACCCCTCAGTGTGTTAGCTTTCCATCACTGTAACAAAGTACCTGAGGTAATCAACTTAAAAGAAGCAAAAGGTTTGTTTTGGCTCAGTTTCAGAAGTTTCAGTTCAATGGTCACTTGGTCTGTTGCTCTGGGTCTGTGGTGTTACAGCACATCATGGTGAAGGAGGCCTGTTTACTTCATTGTAGCTAGGAAGCAAAGAGAGAGACAGGAAGGGGCCAGGGTTCCAATATCTCCATCAAGAGCACACCACCTATGACTTAATTTCCTTACACTAGGCCACACATCTTAAAGATTCTACCACCTCCCAGTAGTGCCCTAAGCAGGGGACCAAACTCTTCAGATTCAGGCCATAGCACTCAGCCTGTAACATTCTGGTCCTGCATTGTGAACTCACTGACCACTTGTTACTGCTCCATCTCAGCCAGGTGTTCATCTGGACTTGGAGGCGAACCCACACCAGGTATCTGCTTCCCCCTTATCTTCCAGTGGTCACCTAATCATATGGGCAGCCCTTTGTCATAATCCCAACACTATGGTGAACATGTCATGATGAGCACCTGATTTCATCCCTTCCAGCAGCCATCTGAGGAGGGAATACTATCCTTGTTCTACAGACAGAAATTAAGATTCAGAGAAGAACTGCATCACCGAAGGTCACAAAGCCAGTAATTTGGGGGGACCGGGCCCTTCTCAGGCTGGCTGTAGGACCTGACACAGCACTCCTCCCACTCTGGGGCTCCAACCATGGAGGGTTCATCCTACCAGCAGCAGTCTTGGAGTGGCTCCCCCACCTGGCCCAGACTCACAGTGCCCTTTGACTTTACTTTTGCAGGTGTTCCGATTGAAGGCCATCAAGCTGGGAGAGAAGCTCCTGCCAGCCTTCAACACCCCCACAGGCATCCCAAAGGGTGTCGTGAACTTCAAGAGGTAGGAGAGCTCTCATTTCCCACGTAGCGCTGCAGCTGTGCTCACTGCCTGTGTCCTATCTGGATGGTGCCTGTTGAGGAAGATGGGGCAGGCGCCAGTCAAGCAGGAGTGAGTCCTTTGTTGAGCCTATTCTTTGACAGATGTGGAAACTGAGGCACAGGCGAGGACAATTCCTATTTGGGTTGTCAAAGCAAGCCAGTGTCATGTGAAAACCAGCTTTAAAGAAGGACTCTCCTGATCAGGTGTTTGTCACCAAACCTGGTTCTTGGGGTTTAGGCCACCCAGGCCTGGCCTGACCATCCATGTGGGAAGGAGAGCTGATCCTCTGCAGATGTCCCACAGCACTGTCATGACTCAGAGCCTGCCATGTTGGCCCAAATACTTCTCTCCCTAGCAAGGGTTCAGGAGCCATGGGAACATCATTCCCTTCACCACCCCTCAAAGCAAGTGCCCAAAGCTGCTGCATTGCCTCTTGTCATCATTCCTCCTCTCTGGGAGGAAGCATTCTTGGTTGGCCTCACCAAAACCTCACTGGGAAGGGCCATCCGGGTCAGTGGAAACTGTCCTTCCAGCCAGGATCCGTGCCCCAGACCCAGACGCTTGGACCTCAACTCAGATTCCTTTTCTGCAAAGATTGGTCCTGAGAGACACAATCACGGTCCTCCTGGCACCCCCTCCCCAAGTCTGAGACAGGAGCTCTCCAAGGCTCCCCTCCTGCCTCACCTGTGTCGTTCAGAGCACAACCTGGTCCCACACAGACCCTTGCATCTCTGGCTGAGGAAGCATGAGCATTTTTAGGCTGCTTGCACATTGAGGTGCAGTATATATATGTATACCCACGTATATTTCTTGGCAGCCACTCACTGTCATTTTCTGGGTAAGAGTCTATTGCTAAAAATGAGAGAGTGGCAAGGATGCCTGTACCCAGTGCTGTGGTATCTCTCTTCAGAGAAGGCCTGCAGGGACTGGAACCCACACTGTTGCCTCTACTCAGGCAAGGCTGACCATGGGCAACTAGAGAGGAAGGGTTGGAGGGATAGGTTACTAGGCCCTGCCCCAGCACTGCCTGGCGAGGAGATGGGCCATCATGTCTCCACAAGAAGACTTAGGAGGCAAAGGCAGGACCAGCCATGACCTATGACCTACAGGGACCACTAGACTAGTAGGACAGGGACATTGGCCAATCTAAAGACCTCTGTGGCTAAACCAGTCTCACTAGCTCACATAGAGCCTCACATATACTCTACTGCCACATGCACAAATCATAAAGGCTCAGCTACACAAGCAGGCCTTTGTCAGAGTCACACTCATATCAGACATAGGCACATACATACACACACAGATGTATGTTCATGTGAGTGTGCTCCCACTGCACACACATATACGTATCTTCTCTGTGTTAGGCACAATGGGAGCCCATGATACAGATTCTTTCTTTTAACCACAGCAAAACAACTATAGGGTTTTGCCAGTGAGGAAAATGAGACTCAGAGAAGTGTGGTAACTTGCCCAAGGTCACACAGGAGCCAAGTGAAGTTAGAATTAGAATCCAGAGTTAATGATTACACTGCACTTATAGAAGGTTGAGCCAGGAAAGGGCATTATGGGGCTGCCACTTCTGCCAGGGAACGCAGGCTGCAGACGACCTGCACTTTAAAGACTGGGAGGGGAAAGGAGGGGAGGACAGAACTTCCTGTTGGTTCACAGGACCAATCAGAGGATCACCCTAGTCTCTGGGATGCTACCCAGAGCACATGCATTGGGGCACAAAGTACCTAGAATTTGGATTTGGATTTAGCGCTACCACTTGTTATGTGATCTTAGAAAAGTGTCTCCCCCTCTCTGAGCCTAAGTATTCTCCCCTGTGAGGTAAAGATGGTGGAATCTACCTCTGGAGTTGTGGAGATAAGATAATTTACCAAAGCTACCTGCCCCATATTAAGAATTCATAAATAGTAACAAACCATACATAACTTACCTGCCAGCCTCCATCCAGAGTGCCTTCACCACAGAAGCCCCCTTCGGCTGCTGAGCATGGGGTGGGGGGGGACGGGACTTGAGAGAAGAGGGAGGGATCTATGTGCAAGTAAATGAGGACAAAAGGCAGCTGGGTGATTGGTGGGGGGGTTTTGTTTGTTTTTTTACAGTGGATATCCCTGGGAACCCCAAATGCATTAATCATTCTCCAGCAGGCACCCAGCTCCTAGAGAGAGGGAGAAGTCTTACTTGGCCTGGGGAAGAGGAACAGAGAGGGGGTAGCTCCCTCATTTTCCCTGGGAGAGTTCAGGATGTCTTAGGGTGGGAGATCCCCTCCCAGGAGACTACAAGCCACAGGACCTCATTTCAAATCCTGCCTCCACCACCTAACCTTGACTACATCACTTCTCTCTGGAGCTTAAATTTCCTCCTTTGTTCATTGGGGTTAACCATGCTTTGCCTGTGGGCTGTAAACCGAGTGACAGACAGACAACTTGAAGGAGCCGCTTAGTTTATTATTACCCAGGGGCCAATCATCCCCTTGTGCAGGGCCCAGCCCAGGTCAGAAGATACCCAACAAGGCAGAGGCAGGGTGACTGTCTCTATGGTTGTTGAGGCCACCTGACCCCCAAAATCTCAAAACCTGAGATTTACTTCCAGAAACTGGGTCCTTGCCTCCTGGAAGAGCTCCCTGCTCTCCCAGAAACCACATCCAGACAAGAGCAGAGTTAGGAGCGGGACAAGCTCAGGGGAGCCCCAGCCCACCCCAGGAAGAGTATTGCCCCTTGCATGGCAGACAGTGACCTCCCAACACACATCTACTCTCCTAAGTCCCATCCCTGGGGACAGAGGAACAGATGGGCAGGCCTGGGAAGCAGAGGGGCTCCTGGCAGAGCTGGCCCCTCAGCCTACCACACACCAACTGCACCATGGAGCCCCTACAGATAGAAGGAGTTCCCTCCATCCTGCCCTGCCCTCAAATTTCCACAAACTCCCTACAGAGTCACTGTACCCCTATTGACCTAAATGTCCAGCAGGAAAGTAATCATATATATAAGGAAACAGGCATGGGGAGGTGAAGCAGCTTGACCAAGGCCACCCCACTCTGCACCCTCCTCCTCTCTCAATCCCCACAAAAGCCCTCAGCCATGGGACCATCCAGGAAACATCATGCTGACCCTGTTTCCTGGGTGCAGAAGCTGAAGCACACAGGATTAAGTGTTGCCTGAGGTCTCCAGCCAGCCAGTACTCAGCCCTGCACCTGTGGGTCCAGACCCCAGGGAGTACAGTGAGAGATCTGAAGGCAGCATCCTTGCTCAGCATCTTGTGGTGCAGAAGGGCAGAGCACTCAGGCTTCAGCCACTTTGGTCCCAACTCTGCCCTTGCTGTGTGACTCAGGCAGGCAAGGTCATGGCCCTGGCCTGTTTTTATGCCTATTGAGGCAGGTGTGAGGACTTACAGGCACTGCCTCTGTGCTCTTCTTCCTCAGTAGCACAGACCTGAAGTGGCCATTAGGGCCTCATGGCTAGGGTAGAGCATGCTGAGAAGCCTGCATCACAAGGAACCCCAGCTCTGAGAGCCCTTTCTTACTGCTAACCCTGGTCTTCCTGAGTCTCGCAGCTCCAGGGCTGTGGTCCTACCAGAGCCAACTGCCCACCCATGCATGTCCCAGGAAATTCCAGTATGGGCCATTGTGTGACCTTGGGCAGCACTGAGAGTATAGAGAGAAGGAAGGGACAGGAGGGTTGTTGCTTTTCATCAACCCTCTTTGGACCCAACTCCCAGCAACTTTATCATCAACTGGTAGGTCTTCCAGCCAGAGGATGGCCAGAGTGTCCCGTGGGGCCTTTGTGGTCCCAGATAGCATTACCCATGTTACCTATAAATTTGCTATCTCTGTATGCCAGGTCTTGAGCTTCCAAGTCTTACAAGAGCTGCTAAATGGTAGAAACAAAGACTATTGTAGGTCAGACAGGCCTGGGTTCAAATGATCTTTGTCAAGTCACATCACCTCTCCAGCTTCAGTGTCCTCATCAGCAAAAGAAGCCGGGAGCAGTAGCCGAGATGGTGACAGAGGTTGCTCTGTCTTTCCAGTGGGAGCTGGGGCTGGACCACCGCAGGTAGCAGCAGCATCCTGGCAGAGTTTGGATCCCTGCACTTGGAATTCCTACATCTTACAGAGCTCTCTGGCAACCAGGTCTTTGCAGAAAAGGTGAGTCTCCCCTTCCCTCCTAAGGCAGTCCCTCACCCACCCACCCAACAAGAGCAGACAGTGAGATAGGCAAGTGTCCCCCTCACAGATCAGTGGGGGCTGAGGAGAGACCAGGAGCCCCCAAACCACTGCTAATATGGCAAATAGTTATTTGTGGAAGAGCTGACTGTGCCCTGACACCAGGTGGCAGGGAAGGGGAACGCAGAGTTGCCAGGATTCCGCACAGGATAGGAAGAGGCAGAGCTCTGCCAGGAAGGTTTGCACTAGTGTTCGTGGCAAATGTGTGAACTATGAAATCTGGAGGAAATACAACTGGAACTCAAGCACTGTCTTGTGCCGGCAGGAATCGGCCACCCATGCACACTTCCCCTTTCCAGGGACATTTAGCTTTTCCATGTGACATCTGCCTGCCTTTTTCTTCCAGACACCTGACTGGCTTGTGCTGCCAATGAGCTGGCCCAGTGATTCTGACCCATAGCAGAAGCCCATTACTGTTCCTTCTTCCTGTTCCCACTGTCCAAGGCCACATGGGTGCAGAGAGATGGATGGCACAGACCAGCATCCAGTCCTGACAATGGCCCATACCTTCTGGGAAACCCTCAGGAGAGGTACAGGCCTGGGCAGTATGCACAGCCTGCCATCCAGAGCCTTCCAGAGTTCCCCAAGAAGTCTTTTGCTCTGCCACCTTCCCTCTGGGTGCCAGCCTCCTAGATTAACAAGGGGGAGGGGAAGTGATGGATTTGCATCTCTACCTGGTGGGCCCCAGTCTCGTGCTGCCAGCTGGCCTCAAAGCATTGCCCTGCACTGCTGTGAGGAAGTTGATTCCTGAGCTTTGCCCCAGGTTGAGGAGTCTGCATTTTAATACACACCTGGTGCTCCTCAACACCAGGCTTGGGATGGCTGTATATAGTGTAGCAACCCACCTGAGCATCCACTAGAGGCTCAGGAAGAGCTGCTTGACCTCTCCACTCTCACTGTCCCCCTTATACTGTCCACCCTGCACTATCCCTGCTGTCGTTTTCCTCCTACTGAGAGGAGTCTGCCTCCTGTGACTCCCCATGGCAACTCATGGGGTGAGTTTAGTCTCTTTCCAATAAAGGATGCTTTTCCCATCAGGCCCCTGGCCTCAGCTTTCCTGCCTGCTCCACTGCCCTGGAGCCAGACTTTTTCTGGAGCTGACCAGCTCAGGTGGAGTAGGATGAAGAGCCCATGCTACTCTCTGGTTAGGCTAGAGAAATAGCTGCCACTGCCTGGCATTTGCTGTGTGCAGGGCACATTGTAACAGCTCTGAATCCCCTTCTCCCCCCAGCAACCCTGGGAGCTGGGTCTTCCACCATCTTCATTTTACAGAGGTGGAAACTGAGACTCAGGCTAAGTAACTTGTCAGGGCCAGCCAGCTGGTAAGCAAAAGCTGGGCTTCAGGCCCAGGAGTTTCCAGCTTTTTCCACAGCAGATAAGTACAGCAAGCTTCAGGCTATTCCTCTAGAGTCTGTCTATCTCTGTCTCTCTACATTTGCCTGTCTGGCTGTTTTCATCCCCCAGTCATGCCTCCCACAGAGGCAATTATGGGCAGTCAACAAATTGGCCCAAATTCTAGAAGTGCCTGCACCCTCCAGGGGAGTTAATTTAGCCTGTTTCACTGCGCATTACCAGAACAGTTGAGAATAACTCAGGTACAAGCACATTCCTGTCCACCATAATAGACTGTTAACGTAAACGGACGTGAAATCTGATGTGGCAAAGCTGAGTGCTGCCCCTGGAAGGAAAGGTCTGACAGCTGCTGCCCCAGCTCTACACTGTGTAGACTAACCTAATAGGGAGGAACAGTGTGGTCCCTTTCTCCCCCATCGGATCATGCATTGGGTGGGACAGAACAGAATGTTTGATCAGGGTAGACAACTGTGGAAAAAGCCCTAAATCCCACCTCTCATCCTGTGCAGCCCCAGTGTTGCAAACTCAGTCTCTGCTTGCTCCCACTGGGGCAGCTTCGGTTGTGAGTCACTGTGTGGTCACTGTCCTGCTCCAAGTGAGACCCAGTGGCTATTCTGTGTAGGGCAAGGAATATGTATGGTCCAAGGGGCCAGGTAAGCTAAAATGTTATGAGGTTGGACCACATGAAATCACCAGTTGTGACCCTTTTTCAATTAACCTCCTGTGCTTGGTGCCGTGTGTGTGTGTGTGTGTGTGTGTGTGTGTGTGATGAGTATACTGAAAATTTACTCTCAGCAATTGGCAAGAAGGTGACACCATGTTGCTAACTAACTAGAATATGTGTATAATAGGTCTCTCTTGTTGCACTCTTCCTGTCTGACTTGTATCCTTTGACCCCACCTTCCCCTTACCTCCTCACCCCCACCCCATCCCTGCCCACCATCATTCTACCCCCTGCTTCTATGAGTTCAACTTTTATCAGGCTCCATGTGTAAGTGAGGTTGGATGCTATTTGTTTCTCTCTGCCTGGCCTTTCATACTTAATACAAAATTTTCCAGGTTCGCCCATGTCCAAAATGGCAGAATGTCCTTTTTTAAGGCTGACTAGTATTCTATTGTGTATGAGTATCACATTTTCTCTAGCCATTGATTCCATATCTTGGCTATTGTAAACTGATAGGCAGATGTCTCTTTGACTTATTGGTTATATTTCATTTGGCTTGCTGGACTTGAACCAGGTATGGCCTATTCAAAAGATACTTCACATAATGCTTACAAATGAGCTACTGTCACTTACTTGAACCCCACCCTCCACCAAAGGACCATTCTCAAAATCACCCAGCAGGCCTAGCGTGAGACTTGCACCAGGCAAAGTTGCCAGTGTGAGAAGTGATGAGTCAGGCCCCACCTGACTGTGTCCTGCTATGCTCAGCGTGTGGGCATGGGGGCAGAGCATCTCGCCACCTCTGTCTGTGGGAGCCTGCAGTTCAGTCATGGCTCTCCCTCCTGCTACACCACAATGGTTTCCTCTGTGCACCCGAGCCACCTGATGCATCCTTGGTAGCCAGGGTGTCAGTGGCTCCTTCAGGAAAGTGATGGTGTGCTGGGTGTCCATCCCACAGGTCAGGAACATCCGTCGGGTCCTCAGGAAGATCGATAAGCCCTTCGGCCTCTATCCCAACTTCCTCAGCCCAGTGAGCGGGAACTGGGTACAACGTGAGTACAGACGCCACTGTCCCTCGGGTATTTGTTCAGGCTTCCTGGGCCCCAGCAAGGCCCAGTTGAGTAAGGCACCAGGCATATATCTGAGCATACCCAACCAGGCATTAGCACCAGCCACTGAGTGCCACCTGCTTCCCCAGGTGGCTTAGGGACCTTTCCATTGTCATTATTGCTGTTGTGGATATGACAACAACTGTTTACTAAAGCCCTGTCCTGTGATGCCCTTACCCATCTCTCCAGCTCCCATCTCTGCACGGAGCTCTGTGCAGCCTCCTCCACTCTCCCCCAAAACTCACAGGAAAGTCTAAGGTGAGTTTTCTGCTCAGGAAGTGGTTCCAGAGAGGCCCTGAGTCCACCCCCCAGCCCCTTCATTGACTCCCCACTTCAGCTTTGGTTTTAGATTTTTAAGCAGGGACTAACTGTGGTATACAATAATATAAAAATCATTAACTCACCACTATGCCTTAAGCCTACAAGAACCATCCCTGGATTTTCAGCTAGCCCTGTTTAGAGACTGTTTTGCAACCCAAACAAGTGGAGCAGCATTCACAAGTCCCACCTCACTCACTGCCAGATGGGGCTTGGAGGACCTAGGAAGAGTGCTGAGGAGTCTCCCAGGCCCCTTGCTATCACCCAGCTGAGAATCCGGGCTGGCTCTAGGAGAAGCAGCCTAGGTGCCAGCTCTACTTTCCTCACCAACACTTTGGTCATGTTCTCACAGTCAGCAGAAATTGGTGGTGGCGTGGTCCATGAGCACTGCCTGTAGAGCCTTCCTAAGACCTGGCCAGAGCTCCCACCTTCACTTTCTTTACCTGAATGAGGACCCTCTCCTCTCCCCTACCTCCAACCCTAGTCATATGGCAAGGGCTTGGGCAAAGCAGACATGTGTCTAACTACTGCAAGACTTGGGAGAATTTGCTTGTCTCTGGGAGCCTTGGTTTCCTGTCCTGTGAAACAAGAAGAGAGTGAGATAGGTTCTTTGTGTGCCAAGAAGGGGTTCAGGAGGGAGCCATCAGCCTACTCCTCCAAAGGTGATCTAGATTGTCCCAAAAGGGAATGATACAGGCAGGGTCTAAAGGGTCAGCATGGAGAAATGTCAGAGGTCTGTCCTTGTCACCCAAGCCTCTACTGTCTGTAGGCCTGGGAGACCCAGAAAGTGCCACCCAGGAATTTCCCCCAGTGATATCTTCAAAACACCAAGTGTCCTTAACCAAAACACAGGGCAGGGAGTGAGTAAAGGCTCAAGCTACAGGTGTTGGCCATAGGAAGAGACAGTTTGATGACTACTAAATGATTTTTTGGCAGTACTGGGGTTTGAACTCAAGGCCTCCCACTGCTAAGCAGGCGCTCTATCACTTGAGCCATGTTCTTAGCCTGCTAACTGCTTTTAATTGCAAGGCCTGACTGGATAAAGAGCCAAGCTGCCCAGGACAATACAGAAAACCCTTAAAAAGGAGAAAGGGGTAAAGCTGCCCAGAAAACAGTGATGACCCACCCCCACTCCACTGCCAGGCATAATCTTTTCAGGCTTTGCCAGGGACCACAGGTATGGGTAAAGTTGGTTACATGTGGAGAGCCAGTTCACATTAATAACATAGGACTTGGTGCTGCTGAAGTGTAGAGGCCCTCCTGATCTGGGGGCAGCCTTTCCTCCACTGGCTCTGATCCAGCAAGGCCTGCCCTCCCTGGTTTTGGGTGTGGGATCATCTTAGGTTTTCAGATTTCATTAGACTCTCTTGGGGTGTGTGCTTTCCAGCAGATGATTGTGTCCTCACCTCGCTTCAGCTAAGAGCTCTCACACGATTTTCCCCCCTGACTCCTCAGAACTACCCTGGTTCTCCAGCCACGCAGGGGCTGTTTAGCCAGCTGCAGCTGCAGAAGCTACAATGGAGAGAGGCCAAGGGGGAGTTAGGGCCCCAGTCTCCCAGCCTCTGCTCCTACCTTCTTCCCACTCTGCGTTGAAGCCCAGCTTCAGGGTATCAGGAGGCCCAAGGCCCTCCTGTCACTAAGACTACATCCAAGGTAAATCCACTGGGCTCCCCATGCCTAAGACCAGCCTAAGACCCCTTAGAGCTCATGATCTGCCAAGAAAGATTACCAGCCCCTCAGCACGGCCCCTCACTTTCCTCACTTTCCTCAGAGAGGGAGATAGCAAGTCCAGGTCTCCATCAGGCCTGGGAGCATGACAGTTCCAGCCTGGCAGCTCCTCAGCTTCATTCACACTCCTCTCCCCCAGTCCCAAGCTTGTGGCCACAGGACTGGACCCATGAAAGCGTAAGCACTGGCAGGAACCAGCAGAGCCAACCTCTGCTCTTGGGCTCCTGGACACCATCTACTTTCTCCTCCTTCTCATATATTTATAGATGGGGAGGCTGAGGCCCAAAGGCAGTGGCTTTCCCCATGCTAATACAGATATACATCTGATTCCTGCTCCTGTGCTTCTCACTGTATGCTACACAGCACTGGGGAATACCACACACACTGCAGCATGGTGAGACCCTGATTACCTGGCGCCCCTCTCTTGAACACCCCTGCCAGAGGAAGCCCTGGACCATATCGCCTTCCACTATCATATGAGGAGGTCTGCACTTGACATGACAGTCAAGTCCCTTCCCAGCACTGCTCATACCTCTGGCCCACTCACCTCCTCCAGCATTCACTGCTATGTGGGCACTGAGCATGAGAGAGAATCACACCTGGTCCTTCCCCACAAAGAGTCCATAGTCTAGTGGGGGCTGCAGGCCCATAAACAGAGCCTTCTGACAACTCTGGGAGCATCCAATGACAAGAAGCACCCACTGTGGTGAGGACAGCTGCCCCTGCACATAAGACACTGGCAAGATGTGGCACGTGCCTCATTTCAGGTGGCCACCAGACAGGAACTGTGTGCTGGGTCACATGCTAAACTAGATCTAGGGGCAGGGAACGCCCTTCTGAGGACTCTGCAAGAGAGCTGTGGCTGATGAGGAAGACTCAGCCAGGCAGGGTGGGGAGGGCAGGCCAGGGTCAGCACAAGCCAGGGCTCAGGTGAGAAGCCACACGGTTGAAGGCTGGGAGCAGGGGTGTTTTCACCCTCTGGCTGACTGTATCTAGTGCAGCCAGTGAGGGCTTCTCCACTTCCTAGTACAGTGACTGTGGACAAGCTGTTCAGGCTCATGCTCAGTTTTCCCACATGGGAAATGGGCCAACAGTGCTGTTTGCAGGACTCTTGGAAAGACTGGTTATAAACACAGTAAGGCTCCTGGCCATGGTGGACACCCAGTACATAGCTGTGGACGTATTCTCCCTGTCTTCTCTCTTACTCTCTTTTCCAGAAGTGTTCAAAACACTCCACTCATCCTCCCTTAGGTCCACCCTCTGCCCCCTTCTCTCTTTATCTCTCCAAACTGAAGGACGTTCTTTGTTAAGTCTGCCCAGTGCATTTATGCTTCCCCTTGCTAATTTTCAGAGCGTAAGTGGCATGATTTCTCATCTTGCTTCTGCGATTAGTTGTCCTCTGCTGTCCATCTTCCCCCACAGATGCAAACAGGCTTCCTCACTCAGCCACACCCTATTCTGTGGGTGTGGCTGGTCTACTGCCCTACAGGTGAATGCCTCTAAGCAGAGGAGGGTCTTCAAGACTGATTCTGACACCCTTGAGTTCCTTCATCCTGATTTGCTAAATTTAAACTCAGCCTCTGCAGCAGGGCTCGGAGTTACAGCTCTTATTCCTTTCTGTGGCCTTTATGAAGTGGCCCAGCATTAGTTAGTTACTGTGTTACTGGGCAATAACATTTCAGAACTCCCTCCACCAGATTATCTTTTTAAGGAAGCACAGCTCATCTACAGTTAATACTGGGCCCTGTGTCCTCAGCCTGCTACAGTCAGATAATGTGTGGCCCCCAATGAGCCATGCACTTAGATGCAAGATGCCCGCTCAAGACACCCCTGCCTTGAGCAGCCTGTGTCACAGGCTATATCTTCTCAGCCCCCATTTGGGGTTTGGTGGATACTGATTGGACACCAGCTCCACTTGAGCCCAGCTCTGGGCCACCAAGCACACCCACTTGTTAGTCCCAGCCAGCGGCAGATGGAATGACATTCTTGTCTTCACCCCTCACCCTCCCCCCCACAGACCACGTCTCAGTTGGAGGACTCGGGGACAGTTTTTATGAATATTTGATCAAATCCTGGCTGATGTCTGCCAAGACAGATACAGAGGCTAAAAATATGTACTACGAAGCCTTGGAGGTAAGATGAGCACTTAATCTTCACGGATCGGTGGACATTAGCCACTGGCTCTCACACAAACCCCTCAGTGCTGGGGCCAGTTGGGGACCAGATGGCAGAGGCCTGCTCGGCCCTGCCCAGGGTGGGCTGGGAGGAATGACAGGCAGACCCACACCAGCTACACTTTGCCCTGTCTCATGACTCCTCCCAAGTTCAGGGAGGTTGAGCTGTTTGTCCAGGATCTCATAGGAAGTGACAGTCAGTCTGATTCAGAAACCATAGTTCAAACCCTCCCCCAGAGTGTCTAAACTTCAGTTAATGTACTATAGCCTGGCTCACAGCAGATGTGGCTGAGACAGATGAAGAGACCCTCGGCTATCTTCCTGCCAAACCAGAGGTGACATAGTGGGTTGGAGGTTTGGCTCAATCAGGAGAGCTCCTGCCTTGTAAGCATGAAGCCCTGAGTTCAAACCTCAGTACCAAAAAAAAACATAGTTAATAGAGGGAGAGGTCGGCAGAATGTGCAGGCATTCACTTCTGCTCCTCTCTGTGTGAATGGAAGCCAAGGCCTAGAGAAGGGAATGCACTTGCCCAAGGCCACATGGCACCAAACTGGCAGAGCTGGGTCCGCTGCTAGTCTCCACTGCTGGAATGAACCAGATGTGGGGGGCTGAGATGAGTCCCTCCAAAGAAGGAAGACGTTAGGACAAACTTGGGAAGAGTGTTAGGGAATCCCACAACCCACCTAAAGATACCTTTGAGCCCAATTCAGGGCAGACAGGGCTGTGACCAAGGACAGAGTCCCCTGTTGGAGGATTAGCTCCAGCACTTTATGCTGCTCTTTGCAGAGTCAACACAAAGTTAACAGTGAGCGCCGATTCCTGCCCTCAGGGCATTGACGTTTCTAGGGAAAAAGTGGCCATGAATTATTTAAGCAGACTGGGAGCTCTACAGAAAGCACTTCAGGAGAGAACTGACTTTGTTTTCGCATTTGATCTCCCCAGCAAAGAGCCAGGAGCCTTTCTGACCCTGGGTAAAGGCTGGGCCTCTGGCAAATCTGGGGCTTTGAAGAATATTCTGAGTGGTTTCAACCTTGTTGACATATTAAAATCACCTGGGAAGCTGTTGATCCCATGTCCCGGCTGCACCCCTGACCAGTTAGTTACTCAGGAGGGCCTAGTGACATCATTTGAAAGTTCTGGTGTTGGAAACCAGCAGGTTGGACCTTTGTCCAGCTGTGGTGGGCATGGGAGGTTCAGATAGGGCAGCTGGCTGGGCACACCCCTGAGTGCCACAGAAGGGCATCAGTCTGCAGCCTCCACTGGTACACGTTCTCAGTCCCTGGTCTTTACTTAGACTCATCTTGCAGATGATGAAACTGAGGCTGAGAGAGCCGAGGTCACACAGCAATAAGAACCAGGACACAAACACAGTTCTGAGTCAAACCCAGTGCTCCTGCCTACCCTGGCCAGCTGCCAGTCACAGAAGAACCTGACTGACCTGAAGTCCCTCTGGGCAGGCTCAGGTGGGCTCCCCTGTGGAGGCAAAGGAAGGAGTAGCCAGGGACAGATGCAAAGCTGAGTCTCTCTCTGAATATTCTCTCCTTAGTCCTCGAGACCATCCCAGGAACTTTTATTCTCATTTTACAAATAAGCAAAGTGAGTCTGCAGCAAAGTGAAATGACCTGCCTGAAATCACCCAACTCAAATGGCAGAGCCAAGACTCAATCCCAAGCCCCGACTCTCCATTCAGCACTTCGCACTGCATCTTGCTGTGATTTAAACGTTTCCCAGTCACTGCCAGCCCAAGCTATCCTGTGTTTTTCTCAGGACTTTAAAAAGCCCTGGTTTTTATCATCACATCTGCTCATTTCAATTGTATCTTAAAGAGACACTGGTCTGTAATTTCCTCTTTACTTGACTTGAGGTTGGCCCCAAATGGAAATAACCTATGGGAGACCATCTTAAGATGCAGACTTCCAGCTGCGGTGTGTGGCATCCTTACTTCTTCCCCAGATGTCTATCCTGTCATATCCAATACAGTGACAACTGATGCTCCTCTCCCTGCATCGATAATTAGCCAGGCAGGGCACTGCAGGGACTGTGCTGTACCCAGGAGTAAAGGCTGGGCCCAGAGCAACCCAACATGGCATCCAGTGGCTCTCCAGGCTTCCTTAGCACAGCTCCTGTGTGTACCCCAGCACATCACATCATCAGCCTTTCTCCATCTGCCTCTTAGTGAGGGTCCCACAGCCAGCCCCTCAGCTCTGGCCCTGTAGGAGAGGGAAAGGAAGAAATGGTCCAGGAGCCAAGCCTGTCTGAGCATCTTTAGCTCAGGCCCCAGCTGGGGGCTACTGCCTGAGGCTGCTGTGTCACATGGCATTCAGAGTCCTGGGGGGACAATGTGGAATCATGCTCCAAATGGGGACAGCACTGTGCAGAAGGGTGCCTGGAGATGACCTTTCCAAGAACATAGCATTCTGGAAGGGGCCTCAAGGCCAAGTCAGAGTCAGCCTGTGGGCAGAAGAGCAGATCTGAGACAGGAACTTCTCTAACCTCTCTGCAAAGTAGGGCTCCCCTACGATTTCATCTCGTCTCCTCCATGTATTTCATTCAAAACCCCGTTCACAGGTTGTCATTTCCACAGGCATTCAGTGTTGTTGGAAGGTTCCAGCCAGGGGTGAGGCCCATCCACAGTGTAGCCATATCCCTAGCTCCTGGTACAGCGCTCAGCAGCAACAGCTTAAGAATATCCAAAGGCGGGGAGGGTGGGAATGGAAAGAGGCTAAGATGGGGTGTGGGAGGGAAGACCGAGAACTGGTAGCCAGCACTCTCTGGAATCTCTGCTGGGAAGTATGCCCAGCTCTGCAGACATCTCATTAAGCCCTTGCACCCTGTGAGGTAGCTAATGCTCTGAGTCCCATTTGATGCACACAGAGAGCACATAACCTGCCCAATGCCACACAGCTTGTAACTGGGAAGAATAAATTTGAACCCACAGAGTCGGCATCCAGAAGTCAACCTGTAGCATCAACTTACACCTTGGGGTGCCCATCAGGGAGTCTTGGAGGTCCTGTGGGCACTGGGAACCTCTGAAGACCTGAACAGGCTCACGATACATGATACAATTCCATCCATCATTTATAGCGTGGAATGGACAGGCAGACGGGAGGCAGAGGCCCAGTGACAGTCCCACAGGTCCCCAGTCATGACCAGGACCTAGCAGCCCATGGTCTTTAGCTGTGTGAACAGCTGTATCACCCCAGTCTTAGGGCTCCTGGGAATGACAATAGCCTGACACCTGCACACCCCAGCATCCCAGAGCCTCCCTCAGGACCCTTTACCACCAAAAGGAGTGGCTGACAGCAGAAGAGCCAAGCTCTAGGGTCCTGGTGTGGCTGAGTGGCCAGGACAAGCCACTCACCCCTTGTCTATAGAAGGCACTGCAATGCACATGCCTGGCGCTGAAGGAAGAAAGGAATCGTGATAAAGCTCCAGTAGAGAGCAGCTGTGCATTCCCTGCAGGTCCTTTTCGACCCTTCCTATGAGATGCACAGCCGCAGAGGTGCTGAGCACATCTTGGGGGCCCACTGGACTTCAGCTTAAGACCCTCTGTCATAAGAGACAATGGAGGACAATCCACTCCAAAGACTTAAGTGTTTTTATACACATAGAGTATTTAAAAGACCATGTAAGAGACTCGTCCCCACAGCTGCCTGGCATCCCAACTCCCAGGAAGCCCCAGGCCTCACCTCCTGGTAGCTGGACCTCTCACCAGCAGTGCCAGGGACCTCGGCCAGCAGAGATTAAGGGGCCTCTCGGGGGGAAGTTTTGCCCTGCTGCTCAGGGCACTCATTTCAGTCCTTTCCCTTCCTTCTCTGTCCCCTTTCCTCTCCCTCCCTGCCCACTCCCCCTTGCTCCCAGGCAATAGAGACCTACCTGCTGAATGTCTCTCCTGGGGGGCTGACCTACATTGCTGAGTGGCGAGGGGGGATTCTGGACCACAAGATGGGGCACCTGGCCTGTTTCTCAGGGGGCATGATCGCCCTCGGTGCCGAGGATGCCAAGGAAGAAAAGAGGGCCCACTACCGAGAGCTCGCAGCCCAGATCACCAGGACATGCCATGAGTCATACGTTCGTTCAGGTAACCCTGCAAGGGGAACGGGCAGCAGGTGAGACTGAGCCCAGACACCAGAAAAACCTGCCATGCTCACCACAGACTTACCAGATGTAGGGTCAGGGTCATGTTGCAGAACTTGAGCTCAGCACCTCATTTTACATATGGAGAAACTGAGTCAGCCCAGAGAGGGGAAGCAACTAAGCCAAAGTCACATGGCACATAAGTAGCTGGGCCTGGATCAGAACCCAGGTCTTCTGCTGTCCAGCCCAACCTCCCATGCTTCACCCCTCACAAAAACACCAGACCCCTTGTCTGGACCTCCCTGGAACTGCTACAGCTCTGAGCCGGAATTCCAGGCTGCAATGGAGGACTTGGCCTTAAAGCTTCCTGGCTCGAATGCCACAATGCCGGTCCTGGCTGAGTGGTCTGTTTTCTCATCTGTTCAGTGTTCTCCCGAGGCCCAGGAGAAAGCCTTTTGTCAGCAAGCAACATGGTGATGTCTGAGCGCCCATGGGAGCTGGTGTTCGGAGCTGTTTTCCCAGGAAGTCAGATTTTCCATGGGTCCTGAAAGCTGGCTGTCCATTCTCTTCCTAGGGCTTGCTCTGCCAGGGCCATAAACAAATAAGGAATCTCAGGAATAATAAAAAGCTTGCTATTTGTCTGGGATAATCAGCCCAGGCCATAAAAGACAGCCGCTTATTGTCCCAGCCAGCCCAGCTCGCCCACTGCTGGCTGCGCAGTTGCTCCTGCCCTCACCCCATTAGCAACTTGGCAAAACCACCTCTTCTGATGGCCAGCAACTGCTGCACCATTGGAAAAGATCAGAAGGGCCAGAGTTTAGCTGACTCCTCTTCCAGGAAGCCCTCTGTGGAAGGTAGGGTGATACCAAAAGTGCCAGCCAGGCTCTCGAGAAAGCCTCCTATGGCCTCTTGGGCCTCCAGGCCCAATCAGGAGAGAGAGGACACACATAGGAAGAGAGCTGGTACTCCACTGGTTCGGACAGGATGAGAAAGACCTCACCCACATACCCCAAATTTTGGACTTAGAGCATTAGGCCCAGGAGAGGAGGCAGAGCACAGCCCAGGGAGAAAAGGGCCTCAGACAGAGATACAGGATCGCATCCCAGCACGGCTTCGACTTGCTGTCTTTACCTTGCACAAATTACTTCGCCTCTCTGATCCAGTTCCCACATGCATGAGAGAGGAATAATAATAAGGATTGAGCTTATGTATATAAGGTTCCCAGTATAGCCTTTGACATTGTAAGAAGTAGTTGTGCGGATATTACAATTTTTGTCCTGCAGAAAACAAAAATGACAGCACAACGACAACAAAACCCTGCACTCATCCCACCTATTTTACTGAGGCCCCTCTGTCTGAGCAGGTGCTTTCCTGGACTCCTCTCTCATCTCACCTCAGCAGTTTCCTAAGGAAGAGCGTCTGTGGAGAAGCATCTGGCACATTGGTATACAAAGGACCTAATAAATCCTGAAACTCAGGCTCCCCAATCTGCTCCAACCTGAGGTCCTTTCCTGGCTGAGTTCTAGCTAACATCATGTGGACAGCTAAGGTCTCAAAGTGTGCATCTAGGGACACTGGCCAAGCCTTTGCCTTCTCAGACCACTCGCTCATATTCTGGGTCCAAAACCACAAAATTACTGAGGTCTCAAGGTCTTGCCTTGGTGCAGCCAGTAGGGAAGCTGCCTGTTTGCCTGGCGCAGCCCCTGTCAGCCCCTGCAGAGACCTTCTAGGCCCCCAAAGCCTGAAAAGCAGAAGGTGGGGTCCGACCAGGGCTTCTGTTGACTTTTCCCACAGACACCAAGCTTGGGCCTGAGGCCTTCTGGTTCAACTCCGGCAGAGAGGCAGTGGCTACGCAGCTGGGCGAGAGTTACTACATCCTGCGGCCCGAGGTGGTGGAGAGCTACATGTACCTGTGGCGGCAGACACACAACCCCATCTACCGGGAGTGGGGCTGGGACGTGGTAATGGTGCGTGACTGGATTGGCAGGTGTCCCTGAGAAATCATGGCCAGAGCCCCAGAGCCCTTGGCTCAGCACTCAGGAAGGTCACCACGCTGCCCTGTGGGCAAAGGTCAGAGACCAAGGGTCAAGCAGGGGCTGCAGAGCCAAGAGCCCTAGCCGGAAGGAGGCTTCCCTGCAGCAAGGCAGGTCACAGACTGGGGAAGAGAGCAGGAGTGTCCATGGCCTTGGTCTCCTGGCTGTCTGCAGACGCAGAAGGTATTCAGAGAGTAGAACACCCCCCAGGTACTGTCCCAGCAGAATCCTGGACGCATTCCTTGAGGTGCGTCCTCTGCAACAGGACAGGCTGACAGGAGTGACTCTCCTCCATCCTCTGGCCACAGCTCCCTCAGCCTCAGGTCTTAATTGTGATAGTGCGAGTAACTAACGTTCTTGGCTCAGCCTTCCCTCAGCTGCAACCTCCTAGCTGGAAATCTCACAGCTTCCTTGGGTAGGTGTCCGAGTTAAGGTAGGATTCCAGAAGATTCCTTGGTGGACGCTGAGCCTTCGTTGTCCCTCTCCCCATCAACCCCTGTGCTTGCTCTCAGGCTGATGAGTCCTCTCCTGGCAAGCTGTCCTGGGGGACACATTCAGGTACGGGGTGGCCTGCTCAGGGTGAAGGCTTGGCTCATTGTCCTGGGCCACCTGCTTCCCTGAGGACCTAGTTCTTGACCTTCAAGGGCTGAGTGTGGTGTGCCTAGTGTCCCTCAGAAGGGACAAGTTGCATTTCTATACAGGTGTGCATGTCTCTGGCCCAGGGACCACATCTCTGGAGGCTCCCTGGGGTGTCATCAGTGACTTGTCCACTACTGTGGTCCATCCATCAGGTCCATCTGGTCCCCTGACAGACAGAGAAGCCCCTGCTAGGTTCAGCCTCAGGGAAGAGCTCAGTTAAGGGCAACTCTCAGAGGGGAGGAGGCAGCATGGAGCCTGTGTGTTCACAAACTCTGGCCACTGAATGCCATAAGTCTTGGGGGCCTTTCCTGTCTGTGCTGAGGCCACCTTTTTTCCTACAGGCCTTGGAGAAATATTGCAGGACGGAAGCTGGTTTTTCGGGGATCCAGGACGTGTACAGCAGCATCCCCAACCATGACAACAAGCAGCAGAGCTTCTTTCTGGCAGAAACACTGAAGTAAGTCAATCCAGCCAGCATTTTCCCCAGAGGGGACATGGTTCCTGCTGGGGACAGGGCAGGGTGGGCCAGTGTCCTCCCAATGTTATGCTGTGCAGTCACAGGACAAGAGCCCACAAGGGATAGAGGGCTTGGGGACCAAAGGGTTGAGCCCCAGGGGTGAGCCTGTCCCCCCTCAGAGTTCCAGAGCTGGAATCCGGCCGCTGGGTACTGACTGGTAGACAGGTTGCCCATGGTCTTCATCCTTCTTTTCAGAAGCTTTGAAACTGTCACCCTTATAAAATGGGAATAGTAATGATGATGGTGACATCAACACTGGTTGCTATGGCTGACTTCCCTGTGGCTTCTGTAACATTGCTGCTGTACCTTTCCCCACCTTCTTGGGGTGGGGTAGGCCACCCCGTTCCCTTGCTGTTTCCCAGAGCAGGCCCTTGTCCTTTAACCCTGGCCCTGCCAGTCCCTTCCAGTAGATACCCCACAGCTAGAAGCTGGCATTCTACAGCCAGTCCATTTGTCTCAGTCCCTGTCATGAACTGGAGTGTAGGTAAAGGGGAGTTGAGAGTTTGGATGGGCCATCCATCAAAGAAAGGGAGTTTAGGCCATAAGGGGGCCTCGTAGGGCTCACATCCAGGTCGGGCAGATGAAGCTGGCCAAGTGTGAGGTAACAGAGTTAGGGGCTGGGGCAGAGCCAGGATTAAACCAGGTCCTCTGACCTCCCTGCCCTTAGCCACAGGCCATCGCAGGCCCAAGACTCCTTCCCCAAGCCCTGACCACTGTGTCTTTTTTTTTTTTTTTTTGATGTACTGGGGCTTGAACTCAGGGCCTACACCTTGAGCCACTCCACCAGCATGGTTTTTATGTTGGGTTTTTTTTTAGAGATAGGGTCTTTTGAACTATTTGCCCAGGTTGGCTTCAAACTGTGATCCTCCTGATCTCTGCCTCCTGAGTAGCTAGGATTACAGGCTTGAGCCACCCAACCCCTGGCTCTGACCCATGTCTTGTTCCTTGCCTTTTTCCCCTGTGCACAGATACCTCTATCTTCTGTTCTCTGAAGATGATGTGCTCTCGCTGGAGGACTGGGTGTTCAACACTGAGGCCCACCCGCTGCCAGTGAACCACTCGGACAGCTTGGGCAGGGCCACACGCCGGCAGTGACCCATTCCCCACTTCCGGCACCTCAGGGATGCCTTGCCTTCTTGGGGTTCAGGACTGTTCTCAAAGGCCTTGGGAATGGAGGCCCCAACCTGGGCAGACCCTGGACTGATGTGTCGGACAAGCAACTTCTTTTCCTCTGTGAGGAGACAGGACCTGGAGATGCAGCAATGTCAGGCAAGAGCAGCCAGGCCCACACATTCCTTTCTATGGAGAATTCCTACGAAACACACTCACTTGCCACTGCAGGGCCAAAGGACAGGGGGTGGTTTGCATTGCCGCCCTGTGCATTTGATTCACTTCCTTACAGATTTGGGGTTTTTGTTTTTGCTTGATTTTACTTTTTCTTTACAGTTAATTTTTATTACAATTATAAATATAGTTTCCAAAATCATGTGCTCTCTGAAGCAGTTTCCTTCTGATCAAGGAAACCTTGAAGTGTCCACACACAATCTTGACCCATTATCTATATTTTTAATGTCTTTTTCCCAATATTTACTCTGTGTTTAACCATGTGTCATTCACCTTATAATTTAGGAAGGGTTCCCCCTTTGATTTGGGCCTACGTGTTAAAAATCACTAGCTCTATTTTCATTATTGTAATGGAAAAACCTGTGAACTAGAATAAAGGAGTTTATTGAATAAGATGTAAGATTGGGCTCATTGCACACCACTGGCTCCTGGAAAACCACCACAAGGCTATCATCAGAAAGAATAACCAAGCCAGCAGCTGATCTGAGGTATAATTTACTAAACAATTCCAACTTCTATTACTTTCCCTCAAATTCTGGTCCTAATATATTCAGGAAGCGGGAGATTGGCCAATCCCATCAAAGGAGTTGTATATTTATACTCAAGCTGAAGCTTAGAGGAAGCCCAGAGAGGAGCAGCCACTTGCCTGAGGTCACACAGACAGGAGGAGGCAGAGGCAACCCTTGCCTCTGCAGTTTCCTGGCCACCCTGGTCCTTTGTCCTTCTCTGTCACTCAGCAGGTACTTGGTAAGCACCTGCCACAGACCAGATGCTGAGCTTAAGGCCAGGGACACTTGTGAGCAAGACAGGAGTCTTGTTCCCTGTAGTCAGGTAGGTAGAGCAGACAGGCACCCCAGAGAAGTGAAGTGATGGCACATTGTGAGCAGAGCTACAGAAGGGACATCGCCAGTAATGGCCAGGACAGGACCTACCTTAGGAGGTGAACAAGGGCCTTGGGCAGGGGACTTTCCAGCCAAGACCTAGAAAATGAGTAGGAACAGCAGGAAGGGGTGTCTAGCAGAGGGCTGAGCACCACCGGCTGCCCTGAGATTGGCCTGAACCCAGAGGCCATCTGCAGAGCAAGGTGCATCTGCACTGTATCCCTAGGCTGCAGAGACTGTTCCCTCCACACAGCTGCTGTCCCAGGATGGTGGTGAGCCCTCCCTGTGCTCAGTGGCTTCATTTTGACTGTACATTTGAGTAGCATTCTGGGAGTTGGAGCTCTAGGCTAGGTGACCTAGCTTTAAATCCCTGCTGTGTGGGGTTGGGGATTTAGCTCAGTGGAAGAGCGCTTGCTTGGCAAGTGCAAGGCCCTGAGTTCAGTCCCCAGCACCGAAAAAAAATCCCTGCTGTGTGATACCAGGCAGGCCACCTCACCTCTCTGGGCTCCTCTAGCAAGCAGGGAGAGCTTCCACCTTTCAAGGTTGCTGTGAGAACAAGTGGGATGCTCCTGGCACCCTGGGGGAGCAGGAAACGCTGCTTCCTTGTCCCAGAGGCTCGCATACCCCCAGGATCTTGAGTAGAGCTGTGGGCATCAGCCCTGTAGTGGGAACCCGGCATTCAATGAACAAACCACGCACTCTTGCTAGGTAGGCATCACAGAAGAGGGGCTACTGCGAACCACTGCACACACTTTAAAAAGCAAAACAGAAAGACTCACTGCACAAACCTTGCAGGAAGATTAGGAAACAGACAAGCAGAAAGAAAGATCATTGACCACCCTACTCTTCAGAATGAATACTGTTATATTTTCTTGAAGACTTTTTCTATGAATATATAGAATATATATTTTGCAAACATGGTATCATCCTATGCATACTGTTTTGTTATAATCCGCTTTTGCACTTAACTATATATTGTGAAGCTCTTTCCATGTCTACAAATATACATGTATGTCACCGCTATGTCTCATCGTGTGCTGTATCGAACTGTGTGGATCTAAACCCCTGTTGCTGGCCAGTTTGGGTTTGTGTCTGTTTGGAATCTTAATTACAAATAATAGAAACCAGTTCTAACTTAAACAAAACAAAACAAGAATTTATTGAAGTGGCATGGGTGATTCTCAGAATCTCAGGAAAGAGTGAGCAGAAAGATTGGGTGCTAGAACTCTAGTTCCCACAAGACCCAGGGCGTGAGTGGCCTCCCCAGGAACCATCAGGATGACCAAATCCGAAGTATCCAGGCTCTGCTGTTCTTTCTCCTTTCCACTTGCCTGGCCTGGAGCACGAGGCAAGGCTGTGGTGGGCATCACTGTGAGGGAGAGAGAGAGTGTGTGTGTGTGCGTATGTGTGTGTGTGTGTGTGTGTGTGTTACGGGGGATGGACCCAGCATATGCTAAACAGGTGCTCTACCACTGAGCTACACCCCCAGCTCAGGGCAGTCATCTTGACTGACGGACCCACCCAGACTCCATGCAATGGGTGACAGGCTATTCCCCCAAAGGGAAAAAGGAGATGTGTTACCCAAATGAGAAACTGCATTCTGGAGAGGCAGAAACAGAAGGACTGCTCAGTTTGTCTGGATTTTTCCAGAACAGTAAAGTGATGAAGAGCACACTGACCTTTCCTCGGCTCACCCTAGCTCAGGTGTTTCCTTAGATTGTCTCCTAGATTGTCTCTCCCCTCTCCTCTTCCTGGCATCCTTGTCCTCTGTTTTATTGCTGGAAGCAACTTGTAAAAACAGCTGTTTTAAAATTCTTCCTCCAGGAGGCCCTCACAGGTGGAGAAATGTCAACCTTGTGGCAACTTAACTCCATGCCAGGGATAAAAATAAGGACGGCCCCAGGCAGTTGAGAGGAGATGGGCATTAAGGGCTCCCTTACCTCCCAGCAGGTGGGAGAGAGCTTTGCCAGGCCCAGGCCCAGGCCCAGCCTTCCCCACTGCAGCCCTCCTCCCCTAGCCTGCTCGGTGGTCACCAGCCTCGTTGTGAGCCTTGTCTTCACCCTCAGCCTCGCTCAGGACGGACCACCTCTCGCACCTGTTCTTCATGGATGGCTGGATGCTGGTTCCTTACGGCTAGCTCCAGGCACGGAGTCCTGAGGAGCACCACACCCCTGGGACAGGGCACAGTCCTGTCCAGGGGCTTGAGTTAAATGATGTGTGCTTGTTCAGATAGCCCCATGCCCTGGAAAGAAAGGCAAAACTGGGAGATGTGACTGAAAAGCAGCATTCCTGAGATCAAGATGTGGTTCTGTTCTGCTCTGGGGAAGGGGCCCCAGCAAGTGTGAGATGGGGCCATGGGCAGCTCCCCCAGTTTTCCCTGTGGGGGTCTGTCCTTGGAAGTCTGTCCCTTGGTCATGTGACACAGCACTCAGCCCTCTGTGACTAATGCTTAATCACATGCTGCTGGGGGCCAGGGGGGCTGAGGCTATTTCTCGCAGCTGAAAATATCTGTTTGGTTTCCTATATTTGGAGCAGTATTTTGATCCTGCTCAGTCTGTCTCTTAAATCAGAGCGTCTCAGACTTGAATGTGCACACCAGTCACCGGGGGACCTTGTTAAAATGCAGATGCACATTCAGCAGGGCTGACATAGAGCCCCATGCCCTGCTTTTCTAACAAGGTCCCAGGGGACATCTATGTTGCAGGTCCCCAGACCCCACTTTAAGTAGCCAGGCCTCAGTTGGTGGCCACTCTGCCCTTTATTTGCATCCCTGGAGCTTCAGAGAGGGGTAAAGCAGCTTGGGTGGTAGGGCACCATCTAGAGGTCCCTGGGCTGCAGAGGGACCTGTATCATAACTTGAGCCTGTCACCTGCAACAGACAGGACAAGCAGGAGCAGGCGGCCGGGAACGAAGCCCACCGTGGAAGTTTCTGCGTACCCATACTCTCCAATAGGATCCTTGTGGATATGGAGCACTTAAAATGTGGCAAGTGTGACCGAGGAACTAATGCAAGTTAAACAGCCATATGTGGTCACCGGCTGCCGTTCGAACGACGCAGAATTAGAACTTCAAAATCGAGTGCCCTGCTCAGGCCCCACCGGACACTCCACTGCCTGCATCATTGCAAAAATAATTTAGCACAAAACATATTGTTTGGGAACTCGAGGACTCCCCTGAACATACCCGGTTATTTTTGCATTCATTCTAGCCTCTGTTTTTTGTTGACAATTTTGTTGTGTTTTGGCTTCTCTCACAGTCGATCTGCACATGGGTACAATAGGTCAAGTTGAAGTGGAGAGAGGAGAGAGCAGAGGGCTAGCACAGCCTCTGAAACCAGGTAGAGCTGCACTCAGCTCTGCTCTTCCTTTTCCCAGGGCTGTGTGGCCTTGGACAAGCCCCTTAACCACTCTGAGCCCTGCTTCTCCAACTGTGGAAACAGTGGTTTCCAGGGTTAATGAGCCCCCATCCATGCTGGAGCTCAATGTATAGTAGTGATGGTTGCTATTGCTCCCTTATAAACTGTAAAACCTTGCGTAAATGTGAGACAAAACACTGCTGTCAGAAATTCTCCTTTTTTAAACAAAATGCTTCGAAACTTAGAGGAAACTGTATCAACCAGGCCCAGGAGACAGACCAAACTCTCAAAGCAATAAATCAGAACATTTTCTGTGTTTCGCATTGAGCAAGCGTTTTGCCATTAGCCCTAAATCTATGGAAATTGGGAAACTGGGGAGATTTGTTGACTGTCCAGGATTGCAGTGCCAGCCTGGCGAGGGGGGTGGGGCCTTTGGCCGCAGCAAAAGGAACAGAGAGCTCATGTGGGAAGCAGGCCTGGCCCACATGGACAAATGAGCCCAACTCATTTGTCCTCTTCACGGAGTCCCTAAGAAATCCTTCTTACTGCTTCAGCAGGAAGAGATGACACCCCACTTACCAAGGTGGGAAGGGAAGTCAAATGGCTATTGCTGGCAGAGGCCCACCGGGTCTCCCTACTGCTTCCCACACTTCATTTCCCCACCCGCACATGGCCCAAACCTAGGTGGCCTTGTCTCAATTCATGACCTTGGTTCCTGACAGTTGGTTTTTAACCTATTGTCCCAACGTAATTAAGCATTCGTGTCCTCTTTGTTCTCAAAACAGCTCCAGTTAGGATAGGGTATTATGTGGTCACCTGGTCTAAGTGAAAAAATCTCAGCTGTTTGTCCCAGAGGCCTTTGTTGCTCTGGGCCAGGAGATGTGGTATCCAGGGGACAGCATCTCACATATTCTGCCTCTTTTCAGTAACAGAGCCTAGGACACTCTGTCTTGCCCAATTTAGATTTCAGTTGTGGCTGTCCCAGGTCTTAACACCTACACAGGCCACCCTCTCCTCCAGGCGCTGAGCCCACAGGTTGGTAATGTCCAGGTCACCTTTGCAACCAGCTCTTGGCACCTGGTGCTGAGTCGGGGGGGCTGTCTGGGTCATAGCCCACTGCTCTATGAGCAGGACCCGTCCACTCCTGGCCACTCTTGGC